AACTGGCAATTTATCTTCAGCAAGACACTAGAGCAACTCCTATTTTTGCAGGTGTAGGATCCACATAAAAGCACCTATGATGCTCCATTAGATGACAAGCAATCGACTACACTTCAGTGGAAAGATATTGCACAAAAAACCTGTAGGTGAAAACTCAGAGTCATCATTTCTCTCTTAACTTCAAAATTTAACTGTTTATACCGAATTGACATTAAAGACTAAATTTTACCACAGAAAATTTTAATTCACATTTAAAACACTGATAAAGTACTATGGAGATGTCAAGCAGCTCCTATGTATACAGAATATTTTGGTAGGTAACAGTATAATACAATATAATCCCTATTTTTCTCTACCTACAATTTCTTCATTTGATTGCCTAGTAAAGCCCTGTACTTAGGGTCACTCTGCCTCTCCTGCTCATTTACCTTGATGTCTGAATGAATGAAACTAATTTAATCTTAGTTAAAACTCCCTCGCTGAGTCTTTCAGAAATAGTGCCCACAATCAAGGATCACCACCTTTAAGATACAAAACTTGCCAGGCATGCTGTAATGCCAGCACTCTGGAGGCTAAGGCAGGAGGACTGCTGTGAATTTGAGGCCACACCTGAGCTACACAGTGAGTTCATCGTCAGCCTGAACTGCACAGTGAGATCCTGTCTCAAAAAAAGTAACAAAAATCTAAAACTTACTGCTTCTGACAGGTCTACTACTAAAATAGAAATCACAAAGCTTTATCCTCAAACCAAGTCCCCTTTAGTTTTTTTTTTTTCCCCTTCAGGACTAAAAGAAAACGTAAATAATCCTCCTCTGTTCTCCAACTCTACCACCACAGTGTATGTACCTTAGGAGTTAACTACAGGTTCTATTCCCCTAATTAGGCAGTGCTGACCAGATAGATGGGTTTGTAGTGTCATGGGATAGCCAAGTGCACCAGATCCCTTTAGGAAACAAATTTTGCATGTTACTGTGGTCCAACTCTGTATCTTGCTCCAAATAAAGGATGACTTTTTTTCCCTGCTCCATTTGCAGTCAATCAAAATATTCTGACACTTCAAGTCCTTCTTCTCCTTTCAAATGTGGTACTATTTTCCTTTTTTTGTAGTTGGCAGCTACAATGATACACATATACATACATTCTCAGTTCTCTCAAGTCTTTTGCCCCTCTCTACAACAAAATAACAATAAGTGAAAATCAGCCATATGTAACATGAAAATGGATAGGAACACAGTAACTAATTTTGTAGTGGGACATACTAAAACTATTCTTTTGCCAATATGCTTAAATAGTCACTTTAAATTCTGTAAAACACTTTAAAGAATATAAAAAGCTAGCCAAAGGTTAAAAAAAACAAAAACAAAAACCCGCACTAAAAAGGTCAATGAAAGCTGTCTATAGTTTCATTTCATTAAGTGACTCACTGGAAGGTGATACTTGTTAATTAGGCAAATATTAATTTTTCATTCATAAAGTTCAATCTTCTGAGTTACCGGGAAAAAATTACTAAAGAAAAAATATTAACTCTGTCTCTAAACATACTGCTAAAACTGAGAAAAGGCATTTTTCACCCACCTACCTATATAATTCTAGTCTTTCATTCATTAGTAAATCTTGAAAATCTCACTTTTCAACTATGAAAGCAATACATTTTAAGTGAAAGCTTTTATCTATATTGCCAAATACAAAAATCACTATTAAAACAAAAGATTCTAAGTAATAAGTGTTTGAAGAAACTTTTTCTACCACACTAGCATTCAAAACTAAGTGAGCACCGAGGAAATAGCTCAGCAACACAGCGCCTGCCTGGCAAGAGCAAGATCCTGAGTTTGATTCCCAGAGTCAAAAACAAAACAACAACAAAAAAGCCACACAACTAAACGAGCAGTAAGAGTTAAGATTTATGGTAAACCGAAGGTCTTATTATTGGAAGGCATAATTTAGAGCTAGGTTAAGTGTGCTTTCTAATACTACCAAACAAATACAATAGATTTAGTATAATATACTTAACATAAGTATCTTCACCCAGCCCCTCGTAGCACTGGGTAACTACTATCCTCTCTAGAAACAGGCAGTCTATTTCTGGGGGCTCAAGAACAAATTAAGCACTTTATGCAGCGGGTAGACTCTCAGAGAAAGAGGAATGGGGCTCAGTCAAATTTGATCTATTCCCTCTTACAAACTCACCAAATAGAAGAGTGAGGAGTTACAACAGGAGCTACTCAGACTGTTTTTATGCCGTCTTACAAATCGCAAGAAATCTATTTAATGTCACAAACCAAGTATTTCTATCTTAACCACACCTGTTAGCAAAATAGCCACAAGCTATGAATACAAATCAGATAAAATCACGTAAGAAGGGAACACTGAGATACTGTATTTTAAATATCCATAAATTTTAAGAATGTTAGAAACTCCAAAGTCTTCATTAAGGAAGAATACAGAACTCCAGTACATAAGCCAGGAGTCAACCTCCACTTAAAATTATGAAGTTGTCAGTGGCTACGAAAAGGAAGCAGAACAGCTAAGTGGTAAAGCGCTGGCCTAATAAGCACAAGGCCTTAGGTTCCATCCTCAGCATCTGGCTGGGAACGTGGGGAAAAAGGGGTGCTAGATCCCTGAGAAAACTGGCTTTGGATGTCACACCTGCCGAAAATGTCTGTTCATAATTACTTCTGCCAACCTGGATAAGTACATAATCAAAGAGACAAACTATCTTTCAACACCAAAGATTTACACATGAAGATTCAAGACAAACAAAATCTGCCTACTATTTATGATCTGTGTTAAGATTGTATTTTATACAATTGTAGTACCTTTTGGCCTAAAATAACAATCTTGTAAGGTCAATTTAAATCTAATCGAGGCTTCCTTAAAGTTACTTTAAAATATTACTACACACTGAAACACATAAGAATTCTGCAAACAAGAAAAAAGGAAACTATGTATAAAAACTGAAAGTTTAAATTGTTTGAAGATGCTTAAATTTGTTAGTAGCAAATCTACCTGGAAGTAGAAATGGCTAGACTTGTACACAGAACAAGAACACGAAAAAACACGAGAACTTAGTCTAAGAAGCAGGTTTCTGAAATACAATTTTAATTTTCAAATTAGAGGTGCAACTTTTTCTGTGTATAAGAAACTGCTCTATGTAACTCAATTTCGGCAAAAACTGGAATTTTAAAGAATTATTCCGATGCGAAAATGCCCATCAATTTATAACTGCATGACGAAAATCATTTAAAAGCAGACTAAGAAACTTCTTTATCAATTAAAAATATTCGTCCTAGTATTTTTAACAGGATTTCTGGCCATAATTTCTGAAATCATACTTCAATATTCCAGATCACAAAGTGAAGAGTCACCTATTAAACACGAATCTTAAGCCGGGCGTGGCGGCACAGGCCTGTAATCCCAGCACTTGGGAGGCTGAGGCAGGAGGATAGTTGCAAAGTGATCTACTACACAGTGAGCTCAAGACCAGCCTGAACTACATAGGGAGACCCTGTCTCAAAAAAGACAAAACAAAACAAAAAACCCCACCAATTTGAGCAGCAAACAAGCTTTTATGGGTAACTCTATTTATTATATTACTTTGGCATACACTATTCATACAGGTATTACATTTCTCTTAAGCGTTTAAAAGCCCTTTCCCTTAAAAACCTTTACCGAAAAATTCTGCCAGTTTTCTTAAGTAAAAATCTCCAAGTACTGTCATGACATTCCCTTCCCCCAAAGTTTAAATGTGATAGAAAAACTAGTGAGAAATGTGGGTTTCCCTGTGTTCTCAAAGTTAGCACTAAACTTGACATGTGTCTGGGTATGAAACTTTATACAATTTATTGTCCCAAAATTTGACACAATTCAAAAACTACTGCTGAAGATGTTGGTTTTTATTTTACATATTTTTCTGACTACCGAAAATGGGTTCCTCTAACTGTAAAACAGTACTTCGTCCCAGGGACACCCGAACAAGCCGGACCGAGTCACTGCTTCCTTCATACCCACACCAGTCCGCCGCAAGCTTTTCCTGGCACTCGAGGATCCCCACACTTGTGTTCACAAACCCGCCCGCTCCTCTACCCCCTTCCAACTCGCACGTTCCTCCGAGGCCAAGGGCTGGGGCGAGCGGGCTGCTCGG